GTAAAAGACCTCTGAGATCGTCGCGTCCAACCTGTGACCGAGCACACCATTCAACTAGACCATGGTACTGCAGTGCCTCGTCCAGCCTTTCCTTAAACACCTCCGGGGGCGGTGACTCCACCACCTCCAGAAGTTGCATCCCCAGAGGACGTGACTTGGGGATCGGGTTTTATCTGACTGCAGGAGGGTCTGACACAGGTGCCTGCCTGGAAGACACCAGGCACGGGGAGAAAGCAGGTTGTAACACATGGTGAGGATCCTTTGTAAGTGTCCCGTGTCCATCGGAAAGCAGGTGGGGGCATTGCCCCAAGTATCTTGTGTCCGTGGGGGATCAGATGCAGGCACTGACCCAGGCCTGGTGCACTGCGAGGCTGGTCGGCTCAGGTGTGGGCAGGGCACAGCGCTCAGCCAGGCTCTGTGGACACAGGTGGGCTCTCAGTGCCCGGTTTCTGGTACCAGGGGCACTGCAGAGGTGACCCGTGTCCAGAACAGCCCAGGGCCCTGCCAGCCGTGCCGACTCCAGGCTGGCCACGGGCAGAGCCATGCGTTGCCTCTGCACTCAACTCTCATTTTATCCAGGTTTTCCCCACACCCATGGTAGCGAGACCATATCACTCTGCAGATTACCATTACCAAGAAATGTTACATGGTTGGAAAGGTATTTTTAAGTGCTCTAAAAAGTGACTTTTGAAATTTGATAAGATGAGGTTTACTTCATTCTCACATGTTAAATGTTGCTTTGAGATATTTTCATTCAGTATTTCAGATTTTATTGGGCTTTTGTTTGTTTCTCCATTTGCCTTTTATTACTTCCCAGATGTTTTGGGGTTTTTTGTTTTATTTTTTTTTTATTGATATGAGTAGAATATTGAAAAATCAAAATGATGTTTAAAAATATACATAAGAAAAATTATGAAAAAGCTATTTAAAAATGTTCAGCAACTTAGAATGCATTTTTGTACTTGTAAAAATGATCTACAGAGTAGTGTTACTACTGTGAGAGTACTGCTGTGAGATGTACAAAGTGATCAGTTTTAATACCATTTATTTTTTAACAAGAATGTAACTGAAAACGAGAACTTAATAAGGCAATATACCCAAAACACTGTATCATTCTGAGATTTATTTGAATAAAAAGTAGCGTATTCCTTTGGCGCTTAGTCAACTAATACTTTAACTTAGTTTTGAAGCCCTTAACCTTTACCATGGTATCAGAGTAGTTTCTGTGGTCAGAAAATAAAGCGGTGCAATATTTCCTGTCAATGCCATTTATTGGTATTTCTCTTTGCCATTCACAGAAATCTGTAGCAAGAAGTAGCAAAGAGAATCCCTCTTCTGAATACAACAGAGAGGAGGCTTGGTCTGTGGAATAAATTCCTGTGTTTTAAGTAAAACAGAGACTGGCAATAGCTGGAAATGTGGTTTGGTGCTGACCTTTGATTAATTTATAATGTAAATACAGAGCTATTAACACCTGCTATTGGATTTGAAGGAGTCTCTATGTAAAGCAAATAATAATTTCTTAGTACAACAAAGGCATTGCACTGGCAGAACGTAAGGAAAATGTAACTTCTTAAGCCTTCCCACAGTGTGTGTCTCAGTTGCAGCCAGCAGCAGCCTTTGCCCCAGACTCAGGTTTCTGTTGCACAAAGACTGAGAGCTGTGTACAGCCGTGGGCAGGCTGAGTAACACAAGTCCCATATGAAGACCACAAGCAGGAAAGCTGTTTGAATGCAGCTCTTCCACTGATTTTGGTGCAAGTTCTGTGTCAGAACATCATGACTTTGTTGGTGGAAATTACAGCATTTATTTTCCTGCCTGACTAAACCCAGAACTTTCAGTCTCCAGAGAAGACAGATCAGTGCGTTAAGCACATTAAGCTGAAGCAGGTGTGGGGAACCTTCTCTTTGTTGGCTGAACATGCCCTGTGACTTCATTTTATAGGGTACAGCCCGTGATTAAAATTCGTGTGTATGTTATTACTGGATAGCAGAACATGTTAATGTGTGGTCTGCCAAATGTGTTGGAAAGGCATACTTGGTCTTAGCAAGGAAAACGTTCCCCACGCCCAAACCAAAGGCTAAACTGACCAGCCCTGATACAAACTGTACTACAGGGTAACTGGCCCTCCTCCATCTCTCTTCTGAGTTGAATTTTGGTTTTGTACAAGATAAGCTTTCTGTGTGACCTAACTTTCATGCTGTGTTCCAGCTCAAGGGACTTGAATACTTGCTCATTCCTCCTGGAAAAGCCCTGTCCAGTACCTTTTAGGATCACACCTGTGTAACATCAGGAAAACATAGTTATTTTATGAGCTTGCTCTTTCTCGGTTGTCTCAAACTGATAAACTTGTTACTTGAATCTGAAGATTTTAGCAGCTCACAACTTTATTACACACTATTGAAGTTATAGAGTCATAGAATATCTTGAATTGGAGGGGACCCACAAGGATCATCAAGTCCAACTCCTGGCTCTGCATAGGAAAAAGCAAAAGTCGCACCATGTGCCTGAGAGCATTGTCCAAACACTTTCTGAACTCTGCCAGGCTTGGTAGTCATTGAAGCTATCCAGTTACTTTTAATTACAATAATCTTCTGGAGTGAGGAAACATTCCAACTTCATTTCATCAATAAATATTATATTACCTTAATCTAAAAAATCCATGTTCTTTTCACAGAGAATGGTCAGGCTAGTCAGGCTAGTCTGTCATAGTCTACTTTGTGGGAAAAAATTTCCATTTTATCCCATTTATCTGTACATCCTTAATTATTTTTTTCCTTCAAATTTGTATATAACAAATCAGATTGAAGATACTGTAGCTGTGCTGCTGCTTTCATCTCCATTCTTCTTAAATACAAAATTTGCATAAGCCTTGTTATGAAAGATAGTATGTGATTTTTAGCTGAACTAGATTCCAAATCTAACAGACTTATAAAAATATTTATTTGTGATATCATTAGCCAGCTCACCCAGAATTCTGAGAAAGGCACTGTCCCTCACTGCCTTGAGGCTTTGCTTCCTCCTTCTTTGTTCTCTTTTTTGTTTTTAATGCATTTGCAAAGCCTTGGTCTCTTTGTTATAATTGTCTCCGCATGCCTAAGTTAGCTGACACTTGGCAAGTCTTGTTTCCTGGCCTCGAGACATGGCTTACCTCTGGTGATCAGTCTTTCTGTTTCTTGCACAATCCCTGCTTATACCTGATTTTCCATTTGTGATGGCTCACTACACACTTTAAGCTCCAGCTGCTCCATGAGAGTTTCTTTCCTTGCTTCTTACACAGTCATGTGGCACAAGGAGTCACAAAGAGCCCTGTGTAAGCTGTCGGTACCAAACCAGGCATCATTCAAATTGCAGACCTGGGGTGGGAGTAAGAGTCAGGTGCTTGCTTTTTTTTGGGTTTGATTATTTGCAATCCTATCAATTACCCAGTAAAACATATGTAAAAACGGGCCCAGTCTCAAGGACCTAAAGCATTTGTATCAAATTTCAGGTATTTGTATTCTGCTTGAAAAGCATCAGAGAATTGTATACCTACAAAAACACAGAAGTGACAGATCAAAAGCTGGTGCTGTGATACCAACAAGATTCCTGACTATGGGATTCAGGACTGGGTTACCCATTTAAATATGCAACACATCTAATGCTTTAAATATTCTCAGGTACTTCTCATTCTATTGTTTACTCCAGAACCATGGCTAGTTTTTATTTTGCTTGCTGCTCTTTCTTTTAGCTGCTCTGCCATGGGAATGCAGACTGAAAGCACGAGTCTGGCTCCAGAGACACTATCAAGGGGCCCTAATGGGGCCTCTCAGTAACAGCACAGTACACATCAAAAATAACATTTGCTCCAAGAGGCACAAGGACTCTGATTGTTCTCCCCAAAAGGCACACATTAAAATGACAATATATTTAGGTGCAAAGAGAGTATTTTTATTTCTCTGTTTGTTAGAAGTGCTAGAGAAACATGAAAAATATTTAAATTCTAAAGATAAAGAGATCTCAGAAAGAGCAAATGTTTTCATTAGCAATATTCTCTGTTGTGTTTCTAGGACTTTTACCAAGCCTTTGGTAAAAATAAAACCTCTGTCTTGGCTTTTTTTGTTGTTGTTTTTTAATGCTGACAAATACTGCAATTAATTTGTTACATAACCTATTCCAGGGCCCAACTGTATCCCTGTAGAGACAGAACAATCCATTATGGATTAAGGAAGTATGCCAGAAAAAGCAAGGCTTTGTGAAGGCGTTTTGCCTATTTCTGTCACGCTTTCCGGCTGAAGCTTTAAGGAAATAAACTCACTAATACTTGGCTGATGTACTTGGCTGACAGCTGGTACATCCCTCCTTGTCTTCAATATTACAGTGCTGTGGATGTGCAGGGTGGGAGTAAAGTGATCTGTCTGCGGTCATTACCATCGCTGGCAACACAGATTATTCCATTTCTTTTTTGCTGTGCTGCATTTGCAATCAAATTGTATCATTCCTCTCCACAGAAAGCAACAATCTCTCCTGCCTGGCTCTTAGTGTGTTTGTGTTGAAGCAGCTGTAATTTGGGTTTGGCGTCATACGTTCTGTCGTGGGAGACTCGGGGATGTCCATTTGACTAACATGTTTTGCAGTTGCATGAAATATCTAGAAAGAACAAAAACAGTGTTTGAAAAACAGGGTTTCATAAAAATTCCAAGAAAGTAATCTGTCACCTACCTGGTCATCAGAGGAAATAACCACACTGTGGATATCTGGGATTTTCAGTCCTCATCATTATACTTATTAAGTGAGGAGAAGGCCATTATTGAGACTGGAAGAATGTATTTTCCTTAACTTGCCTGCTCTTATTCGCAGAAAGCATGAACTTTTCCCACATGACCTCATCTGCTAACCTGTGTTCTGGCAAGATAGGTGAGAAACATCAGTTTCCATCATATGTTCCAAAGGAATACTTCCTTAAAATTCAAAATGTAACCAGTTTCACACTAAGCATATAATTAGAATGACAGTAACCACCAAATTTTTAGTGACAGTGAAACACGTCTCCAGGTAAAACTCTCTTTT